TCCTTGCAATATATGGTGTGCAGCCCTGGTGGAGCAATCTATCATGCGCAAGACTTACGGTGCAACCATTGTGGTGGAATCTGCGCTGTGCAATATAATCGATGTTGTGCAATACATGTTGTCCAACATCGGTCGTCCAATCTATGCGGTGCAATCTATGTGGCGCAATCTATGTAATGTGGAATACGCGGTGCGCAGTTTAGGCGGTGCAGTCGACGTGGCGCAATCCAAATGGTGCAGTACATGTCGTGCTACCCAAGTGGTGCAACCTATGTGGTGCAACATCTGCGCCGCATTCTACTGGTGCAGTCCAGGTTGTGCAGTCCATGTGGTGCATTCTAGGTTATGCCATCTGCGTGGTGCAGTCTACATGATGCAATCCATGTGGTACAATACATTTTTGTTCGCAATGAGTGGTCCACTCCACTGCTCGCGCCATCATCCCACCCACGTTTCGACTTCCGACACCTCGACCCGCCTCTTCACTTTTCCTGCTGTTTCGGTGCTTGGTTGGGGTAATGAAAACATCCTCCCCGAACACTCATTTCAGAACCTGGACAGGATCCGCCATCGCGAGGAGCGCCGTCAGCACTACTAAAAAGGCTGCAGAGCACCGTCGGACCGTCGAGCCGTAGAGAGCCGCTCGGAAACTGCACTGGCGCAGGCAAGTCCACCACGCTCCACCACGTCCGCCAGGAAAGGCACACACAGGAACATCCTGGCTCCAGCGGAGCACCCACCGACCACCTGGACAACGCTGGACGTTGTTGGGCCGCCTCGAGTCGATGTCGCGCAAGCTGGTGATCCGACGCGCAGCCCCGATGCTGGCTGCCGAGACCAGCGTCGTGATCCAGAATTGCCCCCCCCTGAGACGGCGTACATCACGAGCGGCGAACGTATCCACATCCGCGCCCTCGCGGTCGGAACTTCGGGACGAGGTCCCGTGGACACGCGGTTGCATGTATACCAACCCCGCGGAGCATCCGCCCTAGGCCCAGCCCGCGAGGTCCCGTGGAGATGTATTAGGCTGGGAAATCTCCGAAAGGACGAGAAAGGGCTACTAAGCCCAGATAAACGGCCACGAAGCCGAATTAGCTCAAATAGAGCCGAGGATTAAGCCACGCTGAGCCGGAGTAGGCGGGATTGCGCGGAATTGCGCGGGCGCCTTCCGCATTCGGTCGGTTTTCGACAACGGTCATACACCAGCGCATGGATGCGCTTCGACAGCGGACATACACTGGCCCATGTTGAACTCATAATTAACCTCCCGGGAACTGCGCCCTAAGATGGAGGCGTGTCCCGCCCACGAGCACAGGGCACTGTCGGGCACGCCCAGCCGGCCCCTGCCGGCGCCCATGCTGAACTCTCAACCTCCCAGACACTGCGCCCTAACGTGGAGGCGTGTCGCGCCCGCGAGCACCGGGGCACTCTCGGGTACGCCCAGCCGGCCCCCGAAGTCCTGCCCTGAAGTCCTGCCCTCGCCTGCGCGACCTCGGTGCGAGCTTAAGAGACAGCCTCTGGCTGTCTGGCTGCCGACAGTTCTGCACGGGGTGCGCTTGGCAAAATGCGCAGGTGCGTAGGCTTCCACTGCAGCCGTCTTCGCTGGAGGGCGTTCTACTTTCGGATCCGGCAGGCTTGCTTGCATGGCATTTCGCCGCCCCCCCTCCTCCCCCCTCCCTCCGCCGCCTTTTCAAGCAGCGCTGGGCCGAAACGGTGTGCAAATGAGTGCCGAGTTGCGTGAAGTCCGGATTCTCTTTCGGTGCTTGCCACGCCCCTCCCCTCGTCCCCCACCCTCCATGCAAGTAAACTTGCCAGAGGCTGCGAGGAAGTCACCTACTCCCTACGACGCCCCACAGAAGAGGATGCCAAGTGGCAGCATGGGCCAGAAAGGCAGAGACAGAGAGAGAGAGAGAGCGAAAGACATGTAGAAACATATGTTCTGGAGACGACGAGTTCGGACATCCCAGCGACGACAGCCCTCCACAAGCCGCGCGTATAAGAGATGTTGTTTGAATCGGGCGTGACACAATGGCGAAAGTGCGAACAGCTGAAGGGTTGCAGGCGGAAATGCAAGCGATGGAACACATGCCGGAAGACACGAGCATAGCCTGTCGGCGAGAGCAAAGCGCACGCTGAAGGGGACATCACGCTGGCCGTGAATCCCGCTGCGCTGGCTTACTACCTGGCGCATCCTGCCCTGGCTCACACAGAATCGAAATCACCACTTGATCACACAACCTTCTATTATCTCCAATGTGTATTTAGTTATTGGGGGGGAAGGGGAGGGGGAGGGGGAGGGGGAGGAGGAGGAGGAGGAGGAGGAGGAGGAGGAGGAGGAGGAGGAGGAAGACGAGGAGGAGGAGCAGGAGGAGGAGGAGGTTGGCTGAATGGCACAAGCCTCTGGAACAAAAATCAGCAACAGAAACAGGAGAAGTGCGCCTGTACACCCATACCGGCCCTGGCCAGGCCCATCCTGGGGAAACCACACACCGGACCGACAACGCTGCACCCCGGGCCTCTCCCGGGGTGCGTTCTGACCAGAATTTCGAGGCGAGTCCAGCGGTGGCGACGAGAGACCCCCAGGAGGCCCAAAAAGGGGGAAAACGAGGCGAGGGGTAGCCGTCTATGTTTATGATGTTCCAACCTACATCTAGCCTTGACCACCAGAAAGAATTTCGAGCACCAAGAGAGTACCGAAACTGGAGGGTTTCCACGTGTCGGGCCCTGCGAGGCCACACTCGTTTCACACTGTTTCGATACTGCTCGGGGTGCTCGAAATTATTTCTGGGAGCAACAGATGTCTAGGTGCCTCTCCCTCCTCTGAGGCTTGCCGGCCGCCGAGCGCGCGATGCCCCTGGAGGCCGCCTACTCGAGGGCGGCTCTCCGGCGAACGGCCTCTTTCACGCGCAGCCGACGCTGCTGCTCCCCGGTGTCCTCAGGTCTCCGACGTCGTAGCATCGGGTCGGCCACGTCCTCCTCCTCAAAAAACAACAAAAATATACATAAAGATAATCCAAACACCGTCCCTGGACTATTTGTTAACTAGAGGGGCATGCCCGACTTACTCGTATCATAATGGGTACCCTGTCCTCCTCCGACGTCCTGGGCCCAAGATCGGTGCAGGCGACCTCCCCGCGCTGCCCGCAGGCGTGCGCACGCAGATGCCGGGCCCCCGCCTGGCCAGGCCGGGTGGTTCTACCATTAGGTCGGGCCTGTCCCCCTACAGGGGGGTTTTGGGCGAAAAAATACAAGTACTCAAACATACTCTCCTCATAATGTTTAAACATTTTTTTTTCATTTCAAAAAAAAGAGTACCAAGACTATTTTTTGGCTATTTTTGAATATCCTTCCTGTAGAGGGACAGGCCCGACTTAATTCTACCATCAGAGTCCCCCGACAAAATCATTGGAGAGCACCGGCGGCGCAACCGAAAATTGGCGGCGCGCACAAGGGGATGAAGATAAAAGGAGGCAACTGCTGGGAGGTCTTCGTCGGAAGGACTAAGAAGGCTTAAGCCCCGCTGGGGAGCTGTTACGCCGGATTGGGCCTTGGAATAAGCGGGATTACACTGGATTAAACAGAATTAAGCCAGATTAAGCGGGATTCAGCCGAATTTCAAATCAGGGCGAAGTCAGAATTTGACCTCCAAGGAGTTGCATCCGAACAAGGGGATGAAGGGAGGGGGGCAGGCTTCTCAGAAGGCCGCTTCTTAGAAGGTGCCAGCCCTACGTCTGCAGACAGGGCCAGCGCCTTCTGAGAATCAGGGGTGCTTCTAGGAAGCCTTCCCTCCTCCCCCTGCCCCCCCTCTGCGCGTGGCCAACGATAAGAACATTAGAAAACAACAGTGGTTCAACCGAAAATTGGCGGCGCGCACAAGAGGATGAAGGGAGGGGGAAGGCTTCGTGGAAGGAGGCCGCTTCTTAGAAGGCGCCGGCCCTATGTCACGTCTACAGATAGGGCCCGCGCCTATTAAGAAGCAGGGATACTTCTAGGAAGCCACCGCTCTTCCCGCTGCCCCCTCTGCGCGTGGCCGACGATAAGAGCATTAGAAAACAACAGTGGTTCAACCGAAAATTGGAGGCGCGCACAGCGGGATGAAGGGAGGAGGGAAGGCTTCTTAGAAGGAGGCCGCTTCTTAGAAGGCGTCGACCCTACGTATACGTCTACAGATAGGGCCCGCGCCTTCTCAGAAGCACGGCTTTCCCCCCTCCCCCTACACCCCTCTGCACGTGGCCAGCAATAGGAACATCTGGGATCAACGGCGGTTCAACCGTGTACGTGAATATATCAGCCATGGGGTCAAAGTGCACGAAGGCTCGTGTGCCGTGGTATGCGTGAGCTGCAGTAGTTGACCACGAGTAATCTAGAGACACTTTTGCTGTCCATATGTAGCCTTCCCCGGGTGCACCAAGATTGTTGTTGCTCTCCGCGGCCCCTGGGGGATACGACAATTTCGACGACGACTGGAGCCGACGACGGGATCCGACGACGACGACGACGACGACTGCGACGACGACTCGATATTAACGAGGGGATCTGGAATCTGAGGGCGACGACGACGACGACGACGACGACGACGACGGGAGACGACGACGACGCCGACGACGACGACGCCGACGCCGTCGCCGACGCCAACGGCGAATCGTGGCCGCGCCCGACCGCGCAGACGCGGGGGCCCCGGCGCAGGTGGCCGAGATGAGCGGCCTGGCGATGGCGGCGCGCGGGGGGGGGGGGCAGGGGCATGGCAGGCCAGGGCAGGGCAGCGGCGAGCTCGGAGGTGGGAGCGCCAGGGCGTTGCTGGATGAGACGTGCACGTCGATCGGAAGGGGTAGGTGGAAGCATGGAGCAGGAAGGCGGATACAGTGCGTTGGGTGCAGGTCCTCCCAGGGAGCAACAGAGCACAGCAGAAGCATATCGGCTCTCGAAGTAGGAAGGCGTACGAAGACGATTGGGATCTGGGAGTCCAAGAATTCCGAATTTCAGCGACCGATGGGTACGCGCGTCCCATCCTCCGCGGCGCTGGCGTCGGCGTCGCCGACCCCGCCCTCCAGCGTCTTGCAAGGCAGTCTGGCAAGGCTTCGGCTTGAACGCAGACAGCCGCCCCAGGTCGTCCCCCGAGTAGTCCGGGTTAGCCCAAACGGGCTCCCCGAATAAATCGCGGCGGTCTCGACAACCAGGATAACAATTGGGGAGCTAAGAAGGCTTCAGATTAGACGCCGGCTGGCAAGGGTAGCCCGGGAGCTCGTTCCAACTTTCGACAAGAATCCCCGCAACAATGTATTTGACCCTCCAAAGAATTCCGGCAAGCCTTTTCGAACTGTTGCCCACGACGTGTGCCATGCATGTTTCCCACCACCACCATAAGTTGGAGGGGGGAAGGAGGAGGAGAAGGATGAGGAGGAGAAGGAAGAGGAGGAGGAGGAGGAGGAGGAGGAGGAGGAGGTGGAGGAGGTGGAGGAGGAGGAGGAGGAGGAGGAGGGGGGGGAGGAGGAGGACCCCCTCCCCCCTCCAACTTCTGGTGGTGGTGGTGGAAAACAGGCCCATCAACAACGTTTTGTTTGACCCTCCAAAGAGTTCTGGCAAGCCTCTTTGAACTGTTGCCCACGACGTGTGCCGTGAAGCTTTCCAGAAGCTCCTCTCCAGAGCCGCCAGAGCTCCTTCGAGGGACCTTCCAGAAACTGCTGCCGCCTCGCGATCCGGGCTCTGGACACCACGGCCTTGCTGTCACACGCGTCCCCTTCTCCGGGTTCCCTCCTCCCTGTTTCGGGCAGACAGCCCGCCAAGGTACACGTCGTTCATTTCTAGTCGTGCTCATATCTAGTTGTGCTCGTTTCCAATTGTTCTTGGCCTCCGTGGCCAGGAAGAGGCCCAGGATAGAACAATTAGAGATGAAATGACCTTGGCCCGCCATATTTTTTTCCCCGCGAGGCAGCAGCGGAAGACAGCGGTGACAGCGGGATGAAACCAGGAAGCGAAAGCCCGAAAAACGTCTTAGACGAAGGGCCAGCAGGGCCGCTAAGCAGCGAAAAAGGAGGAGGAGGAGGAGGAGGAGGAGGAGGAGGAGGAGGAGGAGGGAGGAAGGGGAGGAGGAGGCAGGAAGGAGGAATGAGGAGAGGTAGGAAGAGGAAGGAGGAAGGAGGAGGGGAGGATGAGGAGGAGGGAGTGAGGGAGGGAGGAGGGAGGGGAGGGGAGGATGAGGAGAGGAGGAGGAGGAGAGGAGGAGATGAGGAGGAGGGGGAGGAGGAGGAAGTAGTAGGAAGAGGAGGAGGAGGAGGAGGAGGAGGAGGAGGAGGAGGAGGGGGAGGACGAGGAGGGCTACACGACCTCGAGGTCGGCCAGACCTGGCCCCGCCTCCAGCGGTGCCTGGTGTAGGTCGGCATGGTCATGTAAGACCGCGTGCGCCACAGCGGATTGCAAGGCTAGGCCGAGGAGCCCCCACCACCTGTGCACTAAGCCTAACGCAGCCCCTTTCCGTACGCGCGCGTGCAGCCCCCGCGTATGCTCAGATGCCAAATTGGGAACCAACCAGATAGATTGTTTCCCCCATCTGCCGTACACTTCCGATCCAAGTGACAATAGTTTCCCCAATCCCGTCGTCGCAACCTCGTTGTAGGTAGTGTTGTTTTTGTTTTGTTCATTGTCCAATAAACGCCCACCTTGGTTGCTCGTCCCTGCCCGGGGGCAGCCGTTCCGAGAGATCGGGGAAAGGATGCATACGTCGCAGAAGAGCGGTACCCCGTGAGCAAGTGACAAACCTGGGACTATGAGGTCCAATCGTCGTAAGTCCCCAGCTGGTACTGGGACGTGGGTATCCCTCAGAAGACGTTCAACGTTACGGTCTGGTATGGCACCACCCGTTTCCGTCAACACTTGTCTCCACGCTGCCACCATGGCGGTATGCCGTGCGTTGAGGCGAGCCCCCTCGTTGTCGGCTAACCTGGAGAAACCATGCGGGTCGGGCCCATCACAAACCACAGCCAGCCCCAAACGTCGGCGCACTGCACATCTGAAATACTCGTTGTTGCACGTTGTAGCCGGAGTTGTGGGGCACACCGTCAACCACGCACTCGCGTACGGCCCCATGCACGATTGAAGCCGTGCTTTACCACGGGATGCTGCATTTGTCCTGTTGTGATGTGCTGGGAAATCCCGCTGGAGCTGTGTCTGCGCAGCTATTGCCAAACCATTGGACGCGTGGAATTGCCAACCGTGGGACCATTCCCCTAAGGCCAGGGGGTTTTCGGCTTGATCTGGAGGCTCAGGAGGCCGGGCCCCGGCAGCAATATCGTGCCATGTAGGTCGGTTATTCCACCCAGTAGTATCGCACGATCTACCGGCTTGTTCCGCGTCCACCAGGCACGCAGGACCACGTAGTGGTTGTCCCGCCGGCGTATCTTGAATAGCTGTAAGGTGGAAAAGCATGTTGCGACCTAGGAGAGAGCGTGATCCACCGCCGCTTTACTGTGGAAAATTGCCAACCTTTTCCTCTGGAGCCCGGGGGTCGCCCCCCCCCCCTCCCCTCGACCGAAAATCCCACCCCCCCCCTGCTGACCCCCCCCCCCCCCCTTCCCCGGCGAAAGCACCCCCTCCCCAAACCCTCCCCCCCCCCCCCTCCCGCTCGAAAAACGGGGGTGGTCCTAACCGGTTCGAAACCCCTCCCTCCCCCCCCCCCCCTTCCGGATCCGGAAACCGGGGGGGTCACTGACTGCCGGTTTCGAACCCCCCCCCCCCCCCCCCCCCCCCCCCCCTACTCACCGCCAGCAAACGACTCCTGGTCCCCACCACCGTCCGCATCACACCCACTGGTGTTCCCAGCACCACTGTCCTCACACCGCTGTCCCCACTGGTTCCACCACCGCCCCTACTGTCCCCACCAGTGGCCCCACCACTGTCGCACTGTCCCCGCTGTCCCCAGAACTGTTCCCACCACGGTTCCACTCTCCCCACTGTCTCCACGGCCCCAACCACTGCCCGACTAGCCCCACTGTCCCCACTGTCCCACTGACTCCTCCGCTGTCCCACTGAGCTGTCCCACTGTTCCCACCACTGTCCCCACTGTCCCCACCACTGTCCCCACTGTACCTCTGTCCCATTGTCCCACCGCCGTCCTCGCCACCGCCTTCACCACTGTCCCCGCCACCATTGTACCCTCCACTGTCCCACTGTTTCCACCTCATTCCCATTGTCCCCACACCACTGCCCCTACCACCACCGTCACCGCCACTGTCCACTGTCCCCCCCTGTTCCCACCATTGTCCCCACCACTGTCCCAACCACTACCGTCCCCACCACTGTCCCACTGTCCCACTGTCCCCACCACTGTCCCGCTATCCCACTGTCCCCCCACTGTCTGCGTCGCTATTCTTCTCACCACTGTCCCCGCCAACAGACCCGTCCCCACCATGTCTCCACACCCCGCACCCCACTCAATCGTTTCGTGGGCGGGGGGGGTTCGAACCGTAGTGACCCCCCGGTTTTCGGATCCGAGGGGGGGGGGGGGGGAGCGAGGGGTTCGAAAGGTAGTGACCCCCCCGCCCCTTTTCATGATGAGCAAGGGGGGGGGGGGGGAGAGGTTCGAACCGGTAGTGACCCCCCCCGGTTTTCCGGAGGGGGGGGGGGGGGAGGGGTTCGAACCGGTAGTGACCCCCCCCGGTTTTCCGCCAGCAGCGGTAGAACACGCTCTTTCCGACCTAGGCTTGGGAATCGCTGCAGTAAGTCAGGGAGCGAATCCGCCCAGCTCGCCCAGAATGCCGCAGGAGCAGTCCTCGTAGAGTCCCGCAAGCCCATGCCCCCAAGCCGCAACGGGAGCGATGTTTGGGCAACCCAGTTGTCGTACGTGACGCCGTGCAGGTCGCAGCGCAAATCGTCGGGCGTAGGGATGCCAAGTAGTAGTCGGAAGGTCTCTATAATACTGTGGTCGTGGGACGTCGTAGCGATGCGTGCCAAGTGCGGTGGCAACGTCCGGAGTTCTGGGCACGGCGCAAAAGTAGAGCATGAGCCACGCCGCTTGTAAGGAGGGGAGCTTGGGAATACATTGTAACAGCTTCTCCCTCTCACAAGCTAATCGTGTCCCAAACGCTTCGACATAAGCATCCGTTCCAAACGGTGTGCCGAGGATCTTGATACCCCGTTCGTGTGTCTCTGCATCGCATTTCCATGCGTCGGGCGGGATGTCGGTTAAGTTATCTGGACGTTGTGATATAGTCGGCCCCCATATCGCAAGTTTGCCAACATTGACGTCGATGTGACAAGACGTTGATAATTCATTGCGCACCGTGGCCAATACGTACGCAACTTCGTCAGGGTCACATATGACGTAAATGTCGTCCAAATACGCAAGGACTTCTGCCCCCGGCGGCAATCTATCGCTGATTCGTCGCAGTGCTATGTTGATTGCCAAACAAAATAAGGCAGGCATGAGTGCGTCACCTTGTTCCCCCCCATCGCCTTGAAAGATTGTGTGCGCCTTCCCGCAAGCATCAACCCACCTGAATTTAGATGTGATCCCGTACCAGAGCCGCACGAAGGGGATAAGACCATGCAGCTTCGAGTTGCCAAGTAGAGCTTCGAACATGCGCGTTCTGCATACGTGGTCAGATGCACCCACCCCGTCGATGCTGACAAATACTTTGTGTGGGTTCGCGTCGACCAAGTACTGCAACATGTGCACTGCTGAATCCGTGCCGCTGCGATCGCTGAGGCCGAAGTTGTACGGCCGGACTACGTCTCGAAATTCTTGTTGGCATTGCCGCGCCAAGCACTTTGCGACGAGGCGGCGAAACGAATCCCCAGCCGCAATTCCACGTACCTTGTTGTTCGGCTTTTTCAAAGCAGTAAGTGTCGATACATGTAGTAGGTCGCGAATATTTGGCGGGATGCGTGCTTGGGCAAGCCTTTCGGCCACATCGCACAAGGCGTCGTAAGCTGTAGTATCTTCCATGCAGATTTTGTAGTACTCGTACCTTCCACCCCACAGCCCAGCACTCTGACCCCGTCGGGATCGCCGAAGTACTTCAGCAAAGGTCTGCCTATCCAATCGGATTTCCGATCTCGGCCGAAATGCCGCGAATCCTGGAGGGAAGGGCTCGGAGGGGGACGGCGGGCGGAGGGCGGGGTCACGGAGTTCCTTGAGGGTCTACTCGGTCCCTGGGGCTAGGCCCGGAGAGCTTAGGAGACGGGCTGCATGACTCAATTCCCCCATTTGCACAAGCCCTAAGGCTTTGCCAATCTGTGGGGCGGTGGATTCGCGTCGTCGTACAGGTTTTTTTTTCGGAGGCTGTTCAGCGGATTCGTACAATTTGTCCCATTCCCCGCTATCATACCAAGCCACGCGTTGTTTGAGTTCACGTTCCCCTGCAGCCCCACCGCGTGCCGTATGATGGAGGAGGAGACGCGGCAATAATATGAACAACTTCCACGCTTGTTGACACTTCTCCACGCGCTCGTGGTTGATGTCCCATAGCACAGTAGATATTTCAATTTCATGTAGAACTTGCGTCAGAATGCGCAGCCAAGGCCCCCTGATACACTTCAGTATGTTTTTGCACGTGGGCACGTGCTGGTCCATAGATTGTTGCATGTCGATTGCCCGTAAGTGTTTCCACCCATCCGGCACAGCGGCAATAGGTCCTCGAGTTCCAGGCCGTGCTTGGACGCCTGCCCCGGGAAGTTGTCCGCCAGATGGTTGTCCAGGTGGATGGGGAGGTGGTGGATGCAAAGGCGGTGTGGAGGAGACATGTTGATGCAGAATGTGGGATAAGTAATGCCGCACATGAGGTGTATCGTATAAACACACCGCGGCTGCCAAAATCCCCGCTTCCAGCAACATGATATCGGCATTAAACATGCACGCTTGGTTCATGAGGTAGTCCTGAGCTTCATGATTGGTAGAGTTGGGTTCGGAGTTGAACCCTTGCGTTTGCAACCATTCAGCGAGTCCTGGCATATGCGCAATCCCAAATTGTCTGCAGACGTCCCGGAGGCTCTGAAAACCTCGACGCATAGAGTCAGCAGTAATCGTTTCATCCACTGCTTCGAACCCCCCTCCATGCTGCTGAAGTAAACCGAGTGCCCATTGGAATAATGGCTCATCGTCTGTATCCCCTGCTGCGGCTAAAATCAATGGCAACATCAGTTTCGACCACCGGTGTTCTTTTATGATTCGTAATGCCGCCTCCCTCGAAGCAGCGATGGGGATAGTGTCCAGCACAATCAGAATTGCATTCACAGCCAATTTCGCACGACCAGTCGGCACAACCGCCCGAAGATCTCCTGGAATCCCATTCGTAAACCATCCATCTATCCCCTCCGTTGGTGGCGGCGGTGCTCCAGAGTCGGAGCCAGCATGTATTGGAGGATCTGGGGGCGGCGGTGGTGGCGGCGGGGGTCGGGGGTTGGCACCGTCGTCGGGTCGGGGTAAATCGTCAGTACCATCTTCGTCTTCGATATCGCTCATCGCGCCGATGTCGCATGCAAGCATACCAGTCGCCGGGCTCGTGGGCGGAAGAAGTAGTGCTGCCAGCTCCGGAGGGGGTGCCGGAGGACCACATGGATCGGGGACTGGTGTGGGAGGTCCTTCAGGGGTACTTGTGCCGGGCACGATGCCCAACTCACGAAGAGCAGACAGCGCTTGATCGCGCGGGACTCTGGGGTGGTGGTGGTCGTTGGGGGCTCCGCTGGTGGGATCAGGATCGCCGCGTGGAGGCGCGCCAGAATTGGGAGGGAGTGGGTTGCTCCGATGGGGCGGGCTGGAGGTCGGGTGAACGTGCGGCGGACCAAGCGTCGTAGGGGCAGGGGCGGGTGGTAGATGGACTTCAGGGTGATTCGAAGGGCGTGGGAGAGCAGAAGTCGGGCCCACCACTGTCGGGGGAGTTCGCGCTGGGAGGGGAACTTGGTCATTCTCAACACTTTCAATGTCGGTCAGGCCTGGCTCGCTATTTGGAGAATGGGAGGCGCAAGAGTGGTAGGTCGGAGAAACGTCGTCGACAGGGGGTGGGATTGGCAAGTGTATGAAGGGGTCGGCAGGCGGAGGAGGCAGGGGGGCGGTAGTGATCGGAGGCAGAGGTGGGTCATACTCTTCTCTCCCTGGGGATAAGGGCTCCTGCGGGGCAGGCTCGTCATTACGATTTTGAGTAGTTCCCGGTACCGGATGAGGGACCGAGGTCGGTGCGAGCGGAGTTGGGATCGTAACGGGTCGTACCGTCGATAAGCCCGTAGACGTTGAAACTGTCGTCGGTATGATGAGCGGAGCCGTCGCAATCAACAACGTGTAGTCCCAGCTGGCCTCTTATTAAGGCCAGCTGAGACTACCTTGACTACTGACCAGCTTTGAGGCCAGCTGGCCTCATTGGGGCCCCGGACTCCTCGGTGGGCCTGTTGAGCCAACGGGCCCCCCGAGTAGCCCGTGGCGGCCTCAAAACCCTGGCGCCGCCTCTGGCGGCGCTCCTGGGGCGCCCCGCGGCCCAGGGTTGGGGTGTTGAGACCGCCCCGGCCTGGTTGCTCGGGGGGGCGGTGGAGGCCAGCTGGGACTGCTCGCGGGGCCTGCTGAGGCCAGCCAGGACTAACTACCTTGGGGGCCGTCTGAGCGCATCCCAGAGCCTTGCAACCCTGCGCCCTCCCTTCCCCGTCCCCTTCTCCTTCCCTCTTTCCGGATCATCTGCAGAGCAACGCATCGCGCCCCATGGGGTGCTAAGCCTCCCCAGGGTCTGCAACCGAGCCACCTTCAGCGCAACCGACCGCATATTCCTGCTGCATGAGCCCGCACGCCGTCACCTGGCACCACCTGCCTTGCCAACCCAACGCGCCGTCTGGGCGCGGCTGCCCTGCGCGCCAGCTGACAGGGCGCCCCGCAAAGCCGGGGCGCCAGGCAGCGGCTGACACGGCCGCGTCGGCCCGCTTGCACTGCTGCTGCTGCTGCTGCTGCTGCTGCTGCTGCTGCTGCTGCTGCTCCTGCTCCTGCTCCGGCTGCTGCTTCTGCTGTTTCTCCTCTTCTTTAAAATAATAATAAGAAGAATGGTAATAATAATCAGAAGAAGCAACTGCATAAACACGAACTTTTGGCGCTCCGCGCGGATTTGTTGGATCTGCGCTGGACCCCCCACTCCATCGCGCGCGGAGCGCTCCAGGGGCGGCGCCGGAGGCGCCGCCAGGGGGGCCAAGCGCAGATCGAAGACATCCGCGCGGAGCGCCACAAAGTTGATGTTTATGCAGTGTGTGTTCTTCTTCGATTCTTGTTTTTCCCTCCCCCTGCTGCCCCCTGGCTTTCCCTGGCCGCGACGTGACTTCGCGCCCTCGCGCCCCGCGAGAGGCGCGGTTCTCCTCGCGCCCTCGCTCTGCCGCCCCGGAGAAGGGCGCCGCCCCGGCGCTCCGCGGCCCAGGCCGCGGCTTGCGCGTAGCGGGGCCGCCCCTTCGCGCCCGCCGCGCGGCGACCTGGCCTCCCCCCGGACTACAAGTACCCCCCCCCCCCCCGGACTACAGGTACCCCCATGCGCGCCCCCCCGGACTACAGGTACCCCCAGAACTATTGAGGGACACAGAATACACAGCGGAGGCCAGTCCACAAGAGACCCTCCACGAGAAGCCCGGCCCTGAAGCCCCCAGGACGTCCACTGACCTTCGGTGCGGGAGCGTCACGCCCTCCGCAACAAAGCCATCGACACCCAAGAAACCCAGGGCACCTTGGAGGCAGGCAGGGTGTTTCTTGGCACGGGCCTCCAGTGCATACCACCCTCTGGTGACAACGACACGTGACGAGACCCGGGGGGGGCATGCTCGCAAGAGCTGCGGCCGCGGCACCCTCTCTCAAAAACCGAACACAGGCAGTTCGCAGATCGATCTGGCAAGGCTCCTCCTCCTCCTCCTCCTGGAAACAAGCAAGGTGTCTCTTGGCACAAAACGGAACCGACGGGGGACGAGCGGCAAGGTGCCTCGCGATCCGTGCTATCAAGATTCCTGCTCTTCCAAATTTGGGGCTCGATCTAAGAAGAAACGTTCCGCTCTAGACAGCTGCGGCCACAAATGGCGGAGGGTGAAGCGATGCTTGGCATGGTTATGCAAATGCAGGCGAGGACAAAAGCGGACAAATCGTGCCCGCAACAATCTCTTTTGCGACGCGATGACGTCCGAGGGGATCCCAAACTCCGACGGCACTGTCTGCGGCAATCGCTCGATCCCGTGCTGCGCACTGCCCGGTACGCCATGAGCTTGACTGCCCAGCGGGCCTCTTCAACTGGCCATGGGTCATGAGGGCTTGTGCCGCAATCGTCTCGTATCGCCTCGTCTCCTGGCCGGACTGCTGCGACATACAACATTCATCCAAATCGCACAGCATACATGCATGCGTAAATACGACCGCACATCATTCTTCAACATGCTCGAGGGCGTGTCGACATGTTGCGTTGGGTGCGTCAAGGCGCGCTCCATCACATGCCTGCCACGACCCTGAGATCCGCCGTTGCAACATCGCAGAAAATCACGACTGGAGCCCCGGACCCCATTTCCCTGCGTCATTTCTCGATCCGGATCGATTTGTGAGGGTCCCGGGGCCCGAAGTTCGGCGAAAACGCCCGTTGTGAAAAAATTGCAACGCCAAGATCTCAGGGGACGTGGCACAACACGGCACGACAGGGCTCGTTGCGATCCCCAGCATAACACCCAACCTGCCGGAGCTCCGAGCCGACTTCCCAGATCGGCGCTGGGCCCCTCTCCTGGACGCGCGAAGCGCACCAGGGGGCGGCGCCAGAGGCGCCGCCGGCGTGGCCCCAACGCCGATCCAGGAGACCAGCGCGACACTCCGAAAGCTCATGTGGCTCCTCTTCTTCTGACCAATGAGGTGGCGACATCCGAACCCTAGCACCCACACCAACCATCGGTTTTCCTGAATCGATGAGAGGCAGTGGGCTGGGGTTCGGATGTCGCGATGTGAACGGCGAATTCAGAATTCTACCCGTGCCGCCCATCGAGTTGCCTGAATCGTGGATCGGCGAGGGTAGGGTTCGGATTTCGCCGCCGACCAATGTGATTCCAAGTGCTCCTCGGTGACGGAGGGAGCGCGGCGAGGACGGGCGCATGAGCCCCAGACACTCGGAAGATCGGTGCGCATCGCCAATGCATCGCTGACATCGGCGATGCAGCGGCGACGTAGGCGTGCAGAAAATCGAGCTCCACCTAGAGCCGCATCGCCGATGCATCGGCGATGCGACACGATCCTCCGAACCCATCTGCTCGGACCCCATCGAGGAGGCCCAGTGGAGTGTGGGACCATGTGCCAGGCTACAGTAGATACACACGATGCCATGTTACAACAGATACACTCGATCATACACCCTGCTATGAGAGAGAAGCCGTGGGGCGCGCTTCCCGTCGAGCTCTAGGCTTCCTGCGGTGCCCCGGGGCTTCTAAGGGTCCCTGGAGCCATCGGGGGCCTGCTGGCAGGCCGGTTTCTGAACTGTCGTGCCTACTGTACAACCCCCCTGGGAAATACCTGCGCCGTTTTGTTGATGGCTTGCGCCCCCCCCCGACCCCGGATCTCAACGTTGAGGGAGCCGCTGTCGACGGCAGCAAAGCTGGAATCGCACGGCGCCCCTGCGTAAACATCGAGATGGGGGGGGGGAGGCAGACCTCGCGCGGGAGTGGCATTGCTTGTCGTGGGCAGGGTGCGAAGCGTGGAGCTGCGCGCGAGGAGCGCCCTGCAGGGAGCCCCGTCAGCGTGAGGCCCAGTTTTGTGGAGGCATCTGTGCGGCAACCTGTGGGCGCGTGCGGAGTTCTGCGTGCGTAGCTCCATGCCGCTGTGCGCGGATCGTTTGGAGCCCTACTGCGTTTGGAGCCCAGCGTGCGTGAGACTGTAATGCGTGGGGCCTCTATATATATATATATGTGTGTGTGTGTGTGTGGAGCCCTCTGTGGATGCAATCCTACGCGTGTGAAGCCCTATGCGTGAGGTGCCCTGTGCACGTGCGGAATCTCATGGAAGGAGTCCTGCGCGAATGGAACCTGCGGAACCCTATGCTTGTGGAGACCTAGGTGCGCCGGGCTCCAAGCGTTGAGCCCACACGTGTGTGGGTTATGATAAATGTGGAGCCTCGCTGAACCCTTCGTGTGTGAGTGCGTGCGTGCGAAGCCTTCGCGTGTGCAACCTCCGGTGTATTGAGCCCTGTGCGCAACCCTCTGGCAACGGGCGGATCCCATTGGCGACGACGGTCAGAAATGGGCCCGCCTTCCACTGGGAACGGCCGAACACCGTGGCGGCAACGCCAGGAACCTGGCACACTGAGAGACCCGCGTGCGGCGGAACACATTTGTAATGCAAAGGTCTGTTTTGCCACGACAGCACACCAAACTACACTAGAGTCGAATCGACAACGCTGACCGCGCTCCAGTCGTGCACACGCGCTCTGCGCTGCCCGATTCCCACGCCCCATCACCTTGGAATAGACCACACCCTACGTGCAATCAAGCTTCAGCCTCAAGAAACTTTCCGTAAAGAACGACGCGCCTCTTTGATCCCAAAGCGCCCGGGTGCACGAGGAGTGATAAAGAAACAGCCCTGGAAGGGCTCAACAGCGAGCACCTCCCGAGCAGGCGGTTCCTTCCTTCAGCGTGGGACCTCCCGAGCACAGCGAGCACCTCCCGAGCATGCGGTTCCTTTCTTCAGCGTCCTGACTGTACTCCCGATTCTGTATTATGGGCGTGTTTTCCACCACCACCACCAGAAGTTAGAGGGGTGTCCTACTCCGCCTCTTCCTCCTCCTCCTCCTCCTCCTCCCCCTCTTCGTTCTCCTCCTCCTCGCCCTCCTCCTTCTCCTCCTTCCCCCCTCCGACTTATGGTGGTGGTGGTGGTGGAAAACAGGCTCATCACTGTAACAAGGAGCCAAAGCACCCCGACGAAAATCATCTGGTCTCTGGATGCGGGTCCCCCCTGCTCTCCCGATCCTGCTGTCCCCCTCTTCGGAGGGCCGGGCCGCAGTGGAGTGCACCCTGCCGCTGCCGCCCGAGGGACAAGCAGCGGTAGCGGCTCCAGAGGCCCCCGGGGGAAAGGGAGGATGCGAAGGCGAGGGGGGAGGAGGGTGGGGAGGGTGCGAAAGGGAGGAGGACGAAAGGGAGGGGGGAGGAGGAAAGGAAGGACGAAAGGGGGAGGAGGACGAAAGGGAGGGTACGAAGGGGGGAAGGAAGGATACGCAGGGGGGGGAAGAGGAAAGGAAGGATATGAGCGGGGGGGAGGGGGAGGAGGGGGGAGGACGAGGCAGAAGAGCATGACGAGGCACCGTATCACGAGGAAAACGAAGGATGGCAGCGTAAGAGGACGGCAGCGCAGGGATGGCGGGACGAGCAGGCGGAGTGTCACCACGCCTGCAGGGAAAGAGGCGGCGGAGGGGCACGAGGATGAGGGGGCTCAGGGACACACAAGTAAGCACACACAAATCCCAGGATACCCTCTTTTCCCGTACTTCCTGGGTCTTCGTCTCCCCCCCCCACTTCCCATAGTTTCCCATCTCTTCTTGGGAATCGACGATGAATTGTGTCTGTGTGTTCTTCTCCCTCCCGGGAGGAGCATGGGCAATATCATGTCCAGCCGCCAGCAGCAGTGGGCATCGGAACGAGGCGAGTTGCAACGACGGCGGCTCGCCCTACAGAGGGATATTGGGCGAAAAAATTCAAATTCGCCCAAACACATGTCAAAATTGGTGGAAACATCGTCCCCCGACTATTTTTTGACTATCTTGAAACATTCCTCCTGTACAGGGACAGGCCCGACTCAACACTGCTCACCGCTGTCTCGACCCGCCCTCCTCTTGAGGTCAGCAACAGCGGGCAGGGGCAGTCTCTCCAGATTCTGGTCGCCCACGTGGTGCACCCTGAACGGAGGCTCTGGCAGCGAAGGGTGCGGATACGCCATCCTGTGGGAGGCGGCCGCCACACATGCTGGACTGGGAGATATGCAGAGAGACAGGGAGAGAGAGAGAGAGAGAGAGCGGATATATCTATATTTACACATACATATAACCCTGGGAAGCAAACAGTACCCCCCCCGGCGATATCGTTAGCACAAAAATAAAATAAATAATTATTTTGGGCGGCGCCCTCCGGCGATATCGCTAGCACATTAAAAATCAAATAATTAATTTGCCCCCCCCCCCCCGGCCCGAAGCCGGCGACAACGTGAGGCGACAGCCTGAAGAACCAATGCGCACGAACGCTTGCCAATGGGTTCCCGCCTTGCTAGAACACTGGGAAACTGACGCGCATCGGAAATCAAAGGTAAATCAAAAATGACAAACAATGAAACCACCGCAAGCAGCTATACTTGAAAGGACCCCCCAAACGAATCCCAGAGGAATCTCAGAAGGAAGCCCACGCAGAATCTAAAACGAACCCGATTGGAAATTCAAAGTAATCTCAAAGGAACCCAACAGAAATTGCAATGGGATCTCAGCGGCAGCTCAAACGAACCACGAAGGAATCTAAGGAATCTGGAAAACGCGGGCTCGCGTGGACATAAGCAATCCCTATTGCGACGGCACTAGGGAAATTTATTATTTCAGGGGATCCTATGGGAGAGAGTCCACGGAGAGATATCGCAGACGGATTCCGCGAACCCCCCCGCGATATGTTAGCACATTTATTGAAAATAAAATAAACCACAAGCGCCGGAGGTCGATGCGATGCTCCCTTCAGGGATTGTCGAAGGAATGTCAGAGGAATTTGAAAGGACCCCCAAAGGAATCCCAGAAGAATATCACAAATAATCCCACGCATGATACCAAAGGAACCAATGGAAGTTCAAAGCAATCTCAAAGGAGCCCAACAGAAATCGCAAAGGCATCTCAGCGGCAGCTCAAACGAACCACGAAGGAATCTAAGGAATCTGGAAAACGCGGGCTCGCGTGGACATAAGCAATCCCTATGGCGACCGCACTAGGGAAATTGATTATATCAGGGGATCCTATGGGAGAGTCCACGGAGAGATATCGCAGACGGATTCCGCGAACCCCCCCGCGATATGTTAGCACATTTATTGAAAATAAAATAATCCACCGGCCCCGGTTGTCGATGTGATGCTCCCTTAAGCAATAGGGCATCAAAGGGATATGACCGGAACCTCGAGGGACCCCCAGAATATTATCAAAGGAACACCAGAGGAGTCTCAAAGGAGTCCCAAAATAATCACAATGGAAACGGCAAGGAATCTCGAAAGAAACCAATCCGAGTATCAAAGGAATCTCTGGGGAATCTCACAGAAACGCACAGAATCACAGGAAGCGACTCTGGGCAGGTGTGCCTTGTCGCTGGGCTCGGGGGAACAAGGGGTCCGGGCATTCAGAGGCTTGTGGAGGCCTTTCTGGATGCCTCCTGGGAACCTCCGGGGACCTCCCCTCCGCGGACCTCTGGTGACCTGCGGGGGATATCGCTTCCGCCCCGGCCCCGGTGCCGGAAGCGTTATAATCTCCTCTGATGAGGGGGGGGAGGGGGGGAGGGGGGTTTACTGATTGCTTCCCAGGGTTAGACAGAGGGAGCGATACAGTAGGTACATCAGAATAAGATGGGCGAGCGGTCATTCGCTGCTCCTGGGCACGTGGCTGAAGTGGAGTTCTGCGGTGCGAACTGTTGTTGCGTTGTAGTGCTCTGATTCCCAAAGAATCCGCCGGACCCTTTGCGGGGCCATCAGGCTGCGAGGCTCAGGTCGCAGGGCAGAGGCCCCCTCGCCACGGGGGGGGCGTGCGTCTCGCGCCTGCGTCCCTCTGCGCACCGCCGCCGTCCCGAAAGCGGCGCGCGACGGAGGATCCGCGGGGCGAGGGAGCCACCTCCCCTCGGGGCGAGGGACCCTCCAGGCGGGAGCGAGGGACCTTCCAGGCGACGGACGATGCAGGCGGGACCCTCCAGGACATCCAGGGACCCTCCTGAGAGGTACATGCCCACTGCGAGGCGGGTAGAGCGACCGGACCGCGGGCACCGCTGATGACCCGGGAGGCCCCGCGCCCCCCCGCTTCCTCGGCGACCGCCGGACCCAGGACGGGAGAACACCCCTCTGGAACGCGAGACACACGCCGCAGGCCCAAGCACCCCCAAGCCCTGAGATAATTCGAGGGTCCCCCCAGGATGCACGAGAACATCCAACACACACACACACACACACACACACACACACACACACACACACACACACACACACACACACACACACACACACACACACACACGAAGGTCATCAGGGTACCCTCCCCGATCCTCCCTCCTCCCGCCTCCCTCCTCCTCCTTCCTCCGCCCTCCTCCGCCCTCCTCGCCCTCCTCCGCCCTTCCTCCTCACCTCCTACCCCCTCCTCGCATCCTCCCTCCTCCCTCCTCCTCCTCCCTCCTCCCTCCTGACCTCTCCTCCCTCCCCTCCTCCTCATCCTCCTCCTCCTCCTCCTCCTCCTCCTCCTCCTCCTCCTCCCTCCTCCTCGATCTGAGACCTCGGTCCGACTGAACGCGCAAGAGCGCTCCTGGGCAAAGAGTTGCCCTCTTGTGCGCGGCCTGCCGCTCGCAGAGTGTCAGGCTGGCGCGCTAGAGCCTGGGCCCCCCGCGCCCTCCCGAAAGCCCCGCTTCCAAGGTCACTCCACCGAACGGCAACTTTTCTGTCGGCCACGGCATCTTCTTTCCTCCTCCTCCTCCTCCTCCTCCTTCTCCTCCTCCTCCTCGCTCCTCCTCCTCCGCCCTCCCTCCTCCTCCTCCTCCTCCTGCTCCTCCTCCTCCTCCCCCTTTTCATCCTCCCTCCCCACCCTCCTCCCTCCTCCTGCTCCCTGCTCCTGCGCCCGCTCCTCCCTCTTCCCTCCTCCCTCCTCCCTCCTCCCCTCCTCCTCCTCCTCTTCCTCCTCTCCTCCTCCTACTCCCTCCTCCTCCTCCTCTCCTCCTCCTCCATCCTCCTCCTCCTCCTCCTCCTTACTCCTCCTCTTTCCTCCCTCCCTCCTCCTCATCCCCCTCCTTCCCTCCTCCCTCCTCCCTCCCCCATCTCCTCCTCCCTCCTCCCTCCTTCCTCCTCCCTTCTCCCTCCTCTCTCCTCCCTCGTCCCTCGTCCCTCGTCCCTCGTCCCTCGTCCCTCCTCCCCCCTCTCTCCTCCTCCTCCCGGACTCTGGCGGCCCTCCTGGACGATGTAGGCTGATTTACGCCGACTGCCGACCGCCGAGCTCGGACCGACGACCGACGACCGACGACCGACGACCGACGATTGACGACGACGACGACGACGACGACGACGAGGACGAACCGGCCTATCGACGCCGACCGACGACGACCGACGACGACGACGACGACGACGACGGCGGACCGAGGACCGACGACGACGACGGACCGACGACCGACGACCGACGAAGACGGCGACGGCGACGGCGACGACAGACCGACGACCGACGACCGACGACCGACGACCGACGACCGACGCAACGACGACGACGACGACGACGACGTCGACGACGACGACGACGACGATCGACGAGGACGGCGACGGCTCGACGAGGACGACGACGACGAGGAAGACGACGACGACGACTAGGACGACCACGACGATGAGGACGACGAGGACGAGGACGACGGCTCGACGAGGACGACGACGGCTCGACGAGGACGACGACCGACGTCCCGAGGCCCTCAGCGGCGAACTCTGGAGGCCCAGCCGGGGCCCACCCCTGGCCCCTGGCAGGCGGGGGCCGTTTAGGAGCCACCCGCCCACCCCCCGAGAGGCTCAGGCAACCGTGGCCGCGCAGGGCCCCCCCTTGGCCCACGACGTCCCGCAGACGCTTCGGGACCCCATCGGAGCTCCAACAACTGGGGCTCCAACCGAGGCCCCAGGGGCACCTTGCACACGTCGGAGTCACCCTCGTTTCGGCACATGCTGCGCCATCGCGCCTGCGCGCGCTGCGGCAGCCGCGTGCGCCGCAGCGCACGCGTGGACGAGGGCGGCGGGGACGCCGGCGGCGCCCCCCAGAAGTCGAGAGGCGGGCCGACGTCCGATGTAGGGCGCCAGGCAGCGTGCCGAAAGCTGCGGGCGACGTTGCCCGCCGGCGAGGGGGCGACCCCGACGGCCACGGCGGCGAGCACGGCGACGAGGACGACGCCCACGGCGACGCCGACGTTGGAGGCGACGGCGACGGCCCCCGCGACGCTGCCGACGGCGACGACCGCTGCCGACGTCGACGCCGACGAGCGGCGGCGGCGCCGACCGGCGCCGGCGACGGCGCCGAGGGCCGCCGTCGACGGCCCGAGAGCGCGCGGCGGCCGACGGCGCCCGTTGCCGACGGGGCGCAGCTCCTCGGCGCGATGCCCGAGGGCAGCTCGCCGCGCGACCGCCGGCGCAGGCTCGTCGAGGAGGTCCGCGCGGAGAGGGGCCCCGAAGGGCGCGGCGGGGCGCGCTCCTGCGCCGAACGGGGGAGGGGTGGGGAGGGTGGGAGGGAGGAGGGTGGGAGGGAGGGGGGATTAAAGGAGGGAGGGAGAAAGGTGGAAGGGGGAAACGAGGGGGAGGAAAGGAGGGAGGAGGATAGAGTGAGACGGATGATTATGAGGAGGAGGAGAGGAGGAGAGAGGAGGAGGAGTAGGAGGAGGAGATTGGGGAGGAGGAGGTTGAGGAGGGGAAGGGGGAGGATGAGGAGGAGGAGTTTTTAAACCCGCGTGCTCCCGCCCGTGAGTGGGTGCCCCTGGTCTCGGCACCCCGCGCAGGCAGAACGGCCCGAGGCGGGGTGGGCCAGCGGCCTCATCTCACGGCACCGTACTGCCGCCATTCAATGACTCATGGAGTCGCCCCGTGAACAGCGGCAGTCTGAAGATATGCTGCCGCCGCCCTCTCAGAGCTTGAGGAGCAGCCTGATGGACGGCCGCAGCCGCTCCTCCGCTCTGCGCTCTTCCAGGGACCGCCCTGGCCGCTGGTCCCTGGACTCGTGGACCTTCACGGCCGCCTTGCCTGGCGCAGGGCTGTGGCCTAACCCCTCGCCGCGCTGGGGTGCATTGCGGCCTAACCCCTCGCCGCGCAGGGGTCCTCCGTGGCCTAACCCCTCGCCACGCTGGGGCCTGCTGCAGTCTGGCCCCTCGCCGCGCTGGGGTGCTCCGTGGTGGCCTAACCCCTCGCCGCGCAGGGGTCTGTTGCGGTCTAACCCCTCACCGCGCTGGGGTCCGTCGTGGCCTGACCCCTCGCCACACTGGGGGTCTGTGCGGTCTGACCCCTCACCGCGCTGGGGAAAATCGTGGCCTAACCCCTCGCCACGCTGGGGGCTGCTGCGGTCTAACCCCTCACCGCGCTGGGGTGCTCCGTGGCCTAACCCCTCGCCGCGCAGGGGCCTATTGCGGTCTAACCCCTCACCGCGCTGGGGTCCCATGTGGCCTAACCCCTCGCCGCGCAGGGGCCTGCTGCGGTCTGACCCCTCACCACTATGGGGTCCGCCGTGGCCTAACCCCTCGCCACGCTGGGGATCGTTGCGGTCTAACCCATCACCGCGCTGGGGTACTCCGTGGCCTAACCCCTCGCCACGCTGGGGCCTGCTGCGGTCTAACCCCTCACCGCGCGGGGGTACGCCGAGTCTCGCTCTGTCCCCGTCCTCGGTGCTGCTGCCCACTGGCTCGGGCGAGGTCCCCCGACTATGCCACTCGCTGTGTTCGCGGTTCACGTGGTATCCGCGGGCCGAGCCCTCCCCCTCGCGTACAGTCTGTCGGTTTCCCAGGGTATGGGTCCACTCTGTTAGTTGCGAGGTCATGTCTACCACACTGTTGGTCAAAAGGTCCGCGTCATGCTCACTGGGCTCGTCAGGGACCTCCGCCTCAAGCCTCTGCTTGCCTTTGGCCTTGCGGTCTACCCCCTCACCGCGCAGGGGATTGCCGTGGCCTAACCCCTCGCCACGCAGGGGTTCCATGCGGTCTAACCCCTCACCGCGCTGGGGAAGGTCGCCGAAAATCTTCTCCAAGTCCCGCTGCAGGTCTGTGTCGTCGTAATCTGCCGTCGCCTCGGGCTGCGCTGTTTTGTGGCCTAACCCCTCGCCACGCTGGGGAGCGCCGAGTCTCGCACTGTCCCCATCCTCGGTGCTACTGCCCACTGGCTCAGGCGAGGTCCCACGACTATGCCACTCGCTGTGTTCGCGGTTCACGTGGTATCCGCGGGCCAAGCCCTCCCCCTCGCGTTCAGTCTGTCGGTTTCCCAGGGTATGGGTCCGCTCTGTTAGTTGCGAGGTCCCGTCTACCACACTGTTGGTCAAGACGTCCGCGTCATGCTCACTTGGCTCGTCAGGGGCCTCCGCCTCGAGCCTCTGCTTGCCTTTGGTACTGCGGTCTAACCCCTCACCGCGCTGGGGTCCGCCGTGGCCTAACCCCTCGCCGCGCTGGGGTCCTCTGCGGTCTGCCAGGTGGTGCCCTATGCTGTGCTGTGCATCTGGGATCTGCTGGTGGTTGTCATCGCTGTCCTGCTTGTCTACGGGCTGCTGGGGGCAATCCTCGCTGTTCTCCTCTTCAGGGAAGTGGTCGAGGTCTGCCATGTCCTTGGTGCTACGTCCTGCTGGTGGGGGACGGGCACCCCTCTGCATCCCGTCTGGCGCAGGGCTGTGGCCTAACCCCTCGCCGCGCTGGGGTCCTCTGCGGCCTAACCCCTCGCCGCGCAGGGGTCCATGGTGGCCTGTCCCCTCTCCGCACAGGGGCCTGCTAGAGGGTTTCTGCTGCTCCTCCGCCCTTCCCGCCTCCAGGGACCGCTCTGGCTGCGGTGCCCTGGGTCCCCTGGGCCTCTCGGGCTCGGGCGTAGGCGTTGCCGTGCGCAGCTCGGCGGGGTTTCTGGTGGCCCTGGCCTCTGGGTTCCTCCTCGGCGGTCTGGCTGGGGCCCTGCTCGGCACTCGCCCTGCTGCTTGCGGTCGCGGGCTGCGGCTCCTCACTACTGGCTCAGTCCCACCCAGTAACTGCTCAGCCGTTGCTCTGCGCCGCTCTGCCTCCTTCGGGTCCTGCTGCTGGATCTGCCTGCGCGCCTCTCCGCTGTTGAGCCATGCCAGGCGGCAGATCTCTTCCGCCGCTCGGCGCTGGCTGCGCTGGCGGCTCGGCCCTGACACGTTGCTGAACAGCCTCTGATAGACGCCCGTCTGCAGCGCCCTCAGCACATGGGGCACGCGCGCAGCCTGCCACGATGGCCAGCCCTGTTCGCCCTCTTTCTGGCTCCAGCAGCCTGCCAGCGACTGCATGAGCTGCTCGAGCCTGTTCCTCTCGAGCCACGCCACCTCCTGCTCGGGGTCCTGGTCAGCTTCTCCATTGTTGTGTCGAAGCCTTGGGTGGAGCAGGCCGGCCTCGTCGGCTTCGCTCACGAACTTCATCAGGTCGGGCCCCGCTGGCATGGTCAGCGTTACTGCCACCTGCACTGCCGTCTGCATCAGGCTGTTGGCGTCGTGCCTCTGATCAGGTCCCGCCATGGTCTCCATCTCCTGGCTGCTCGGCTCACCCTCCAGCTCTGGGGCTTCACTGTCTGGGGTCGAGTCTTCATCGTCCAGGTTCTCTGGTGACCACTCTCGGCTGGCCTCCGCTGTTCTCGGCAGCGGCCTGCGCTCGCTGCTGGGGATGCTGTGCGCTAGGATGTTGTTCCTTCTGTTCTGGAAAGCGTCCATGTGCACTCTTGCTGCCTGCTGCCTTGTTCCATACGGGAGGGTAAGCATCCTGGTCATGAGCCTCCGTCGCGTGCGGTGCGTGTTGCGCCAGACTTCTTCGCAGAAGTCCTTGATCTGCTGGAGCTCCTGCGCGGTGACGGCCCTGGTCTGCTCTAGCGTGTCCGTTCTGCCACCCACATTGGTGATGGCCAGGAAGTACGGTGCGCAGTGCTCCATCCAGTCGTCCATGTCGTCCCAGACCTCTTGGTCGACCATGTTCATCCACTGCTCCGCGTGGCCCTCCATGTGGTCCACTAGCCTCCAGCTGGCGTGGACGACAGAGTGCGGATGGCTGGGTGGCTGCTGTGGAGCTGGCTGCGGGTCCCCTGCCTCTGAGCTGCCCCCGTCCAGGTCTATCGCCTCGTGGTTACTCAGGCCGAGCTTGAACTCTCCAGGCATGGTGATCTCGTTGAGACCCTCATCCGCTGGGTCTGCTGCTGGCTTTGCTCCTCTTGGCAGCTTGCCCCTCTGCGTGTCCTCCAAGACCCGCCGCCCTGCTGCTGTTGGGGGCTGACATGGCCTTGCCAGCTTCCTTGCCACTCCTGCCACGATCCTGCTCTTGTGGTCCCCGAGGTAGCTGGTGCCGCCACATTTCTCGCACCAGAGCCAGCCATGGGTGAACTGCGTCCTGTGGGAGACGTGCACTACCTGCGTGCCGATCTGCACCGCCTTGAAGTCGAGCCTGACGTTGCCGTGCTGGTCCTGGTGGCCGCCGTACTTCCCGAGGCATTCTCCCGTCTCTGCCAACCAGTCTCTGATGCTTTGTCCTTTGGCTGGGCCACTGCGACACGTAGCACACAACCATCGCGGATGTAGCTTGCGCAAGTCGTGTCCCAGCTGGGCTGCCCTGTCCCTCGCCGTCTGCGGCTTCCGGCGCTTGGCCTTGGGACGCTGAGGGGCCTTGTTGGGGTCCTCCACCGTCACCGCCATGTTGATGGCCAGCAGCCGGTTTTGCACCGCCATGGTGATCTGGTCCCTGATCTGCTGCTGCGCGATGATGGCTGGATCCAGTGCTCCATGCTCCGCTCCCCAGCCTGCGCACTTGTCTGCCATCTCGTTTCCTATGACCCACCAGGTGGGACCATTCCACCTCTCCAGCTCGGCTGGGTGCTCAATCAAGTGGCTTGGGATGTGGTGGCCCATGATGGTGTCCGTGCTGTTCTGCAGCTGCTGCTTCGTCTGGAGCCAGAGGTCGTAGTTCGTGCTCCTGTAGTCCAGATCCTCAGGATCCTGGATCTGCTTGAGTGCGTCCAGGGCGTATTTGCAATCGCTGACTATGTTGAGCCCCCTGGCTGTCGCCGCCGTGGTGTACCCGATGGCTTTGCTCATGGCGGTGAGCTCTGCCCGCGGCACCGTGTGCGGTGCCCTGATCGTGCCGTACCAGGCAGCCACTTCCTGCGGACGTCCTTGATCGTCGAGCCTGAACGCCACCACTGCCCAGCCGCAGCGTCTGAGGCGGGGGTCCTTGGCCGTTTCCCCTGCACCGCCTGAGCCGTCCGTGAAGACATAGTCTGCTCGAACCTTGTGCCCTGACTGGGCTGCTGCCTGAGCCTCTTCGCTGGTGCAGAAGATCTGCGCCGCCTTCGCCGCGTCCTCGTCTGGGTCGACCTTGGCTGCCCAGGCCGCTGGCGGGATGCCTCTGAGCCAGAAGTGCAGGTCTTGCCGCTGGTCCAGCGCGTCCTTCGCCTTCTTCGCCAGGTCGGTGTCACTGCTGTGCCCTATCTCTGCGTTGGCAGGGCATGCGTAGTAGCGGTGTTCCTCTGTCTCTATCGCCTCGCCGCATCTCGCGCAGGTGTCGTCGCCTTCTTGGTTGAGGTTGGCCGCCCTGCGACGCTCCTTGGTCCAGATGCCCGCCACCGCTATGGTCTCCAGCATGGCTGCCTCTGCATGCTGTCCTTTGCGCCTCCTCCTCCTCAGGTGGCGCTGCAGCTGATAGAGGTCGCCTCCAGCCTGACGTCCTTCTCCACTGCGGTGGCCTGCTGCCTGCTGCCAGGGCTGCTGCTGCGCGCTCTGCTGGACTTCATACAGGAGCGCGCCGAAGTGAGGAATGTCATCTGGCTTGTAGGCCCACTCGTCACCTGCTGGGCTGATCCAGCTGTCCAGGCGTCGCGGTATCCAGCCTAACCCAAGCAGCTGCGCGATGACCCCTGCCATAGGCCCCTTGACCTGCTGCCACCTGCGGTTGGGTTCCAGGGCGCCCAGCTTGGCGTAGAGCAGGAGCCAGCCTCTCTGGTACCTCTTGAGCTCCGTCGGGTGGTCGACTATGGTGAGCCAGAACTGCTTGATCTGGTCACCGATGGCTCGGGTTACTGCCTCTTGCATTCCCCTCTGGATCAGGAGGATGGTGGACGTGCAGCGTCCAGCCTTGTGCCCGCCTGTGAGGAGCGCTGCCTCCGTAGCCCTGACCGACTTCGCCTCCGTGGGCGTGATGCCGTGCGCTGGTAAGTCCCAGGCCTGCTGGCAGTAGGCACCTGCTGAATAGACCTTTGCCGCGCCTCTGGCGTCCGTCTTCGCTAGGTCCTTGAGCTTGGCCACCCTCTGCTTGGCCTTGGCCTGGCGCGCGGCATGGGTGGGTCGGATGAGGAGGAGGAGGAGGAAGAGGAGGAGGAGGAGGAGGAGGAGGAGGAATATTGAGGAGGAGGAGGAGGGAGGAGGGGAGGGACCCCCGGATGAGTGGCATCGGCAGCAGGGCGGTCCTCGAGGTGGTCATAAGAGCCGCCCCGAAGCCAATCAATGGAGTGTGTTTCCATCGAAGTCGTACGATACGTAGCTGTGGGAGAAAACACATACAGTCTGTGGGGAAAAAACACACCCTGTGGGAAAAAACACACTGTGTGTTTGTTTCCCACACACGGTTTCCCCCCCCCTCCACAGTGTGTTGTTCCCACAGTGTTGTTTTTTTCCCACAGGCTCTCCCCTCGGTGCGTTCGTGGACCCCATTCGAAGCCGTCGGCGCGACTGGCGGACTGGTCTGACTGTGTCAGCAGCTTGTGCCTCGACTTGACGTGTCGGTTTCCCAATAATCATCCGTTCCCGATTTCTCCTACAGTCGGGGCGCTGACCTAAGGAACTCTAAATAAGGAACGAGGCCCCCTTTTCCCATAAGTTAAACTCCGATTTCCCATCGAAACCCTAAGCAAAACCAGAGGCGAACTACAAAACAACTAAGGAACACCGAGCCCCTCCCCAACGAAAAAGGTTCCTTCCTCAGCGCCCCGACGGTATGCCCGAAACAGTACTTGCACTTGGGGGCTCCGTCTCGGCACAAGTGGTTGAACGGATATCTCGAGTGTTTGTCACGTTGCCCCCCGTTCGGTGTGTGTGGGGGGGGGTGCCGAGGTTGCGCCTTGCGCCACGTTGCCGCCTGTGCCACCTCGTGGGCGCTCGTGGGCGCCCTGTGTGCTGGTGTGTGTGTGTGTGTGTGTGCCGAAGTTGCGCCACGTTGCCGCCCGTGCCATTTCGGGGGCGCTCGTGGGCGCCATGCGCGTTGAGCTTGCACCAAATAGCTTGAACCACATAGCTTGCACGACCTAGCTTGCACCACATAGCTCACGACGCCTAGCTTACACAACCCAGCTCACACCACTTAGCTTAGACCGCAAAGCTCTTTCAGCCCCAGTTTACACCACGTAGATTATACAACATACATTAGCTTAAAACGCATAGTGTACAACACAGATCTTCCACCACATAGCTGCCACATCGGCAGTGCAATCACCCACTGCCTGGAATCCACGCTGGCTAACATCCGATGTCCGTACGTTTCGTTATTTTCCTCGTCGTGCTCCTTCGATTGTGGCCTCCCCAGGGGCTGTCCAATGACCGATGCGGCACAATCGGTCTGTGCACCGTGGGACGAACCCCGCACCTACCCCAGCTCAGTAGATCATGATTCTGAAACCTCCTTTTTTATGGAAGTAGCTATACGCTGCAACTGCTGCGGACAAGATCGCCCAGCATGATTAGAGGAACAAAACGCAAGATTAAACTTCTGGCGGTCCGCACGGATTTCGTTCGTGGATCTGAGCTGGACCCCCTCCATGGCGCGCGGAGCGCGCCGGGGGGGCCCAGCGCGGATCCAAGAAATCTGCGCGAAGCGCCAACAATTCATGTTTATGCAGTTTTTCTCTTCTTCGAATTAATGTACCATCGGGGTCTTACGCAGAAACGCATGCAAAATCCACCTCCCCGGCGGACGGCCACTCTTTCGGGCGCGGCCACACCGGCCATCCCCTTCCATGACTTCGCCCTCCCTTTCAAGCCTCCCTCCGGCCACACACACAGACACATATACAGACACAGACACAGACACAGACAGAGACAAAGACAGAGACACACACACACACAGACACCGACACAGACACCGACACAGACACAACAGACACACAAAACACACAACACACAACGCACACAACGCACACAACGCACACACAACACACACACAACACACACAACACACAACACACACAACACACACAACACACACGCACCACAACACACACGCACCACAACACACACACACACGCACGCACGCACGCACGCACGCACGCACGCACGCACGCACGCCAGCTCGCCCGCACGCCCGCACGCCCGCGCGCCCGCGCCCGCCCGCCCGCCCGCCCGCCCGCACGCCCGCACGCCCGCACGCCCGCACGCCCGCACGCCCGCACGCCCGCCCGCACGCCCGCACGCCCGCACGCCCGCACGCCCGCACGCCCGCACGCCCGCACGCACGCCCGCACGCCCGCACGCCCGCACGCACGCACGCACGCACGCACGCACGCACGCACGCAGCACGCACGCACCCACGCACCCACGCACCCACGCACCACGCACCCACGCACCCACGCACCCACGCACGCACCCACGCCCACCCACCCCCACCCACCCCAACCCACACTCACACACCCCCACACCCACACACCCACACACCCACACACCCACACATACACACACACACACACACACACACACACACTCGCCGTGAGCCGAGGCGAGGGGGACGTCACGGAGGGGCATGGCTTGCTAGGGGTCGGTTGGGCCGCCCCTGACTCCTGCGCGTCGCCGGTCAATCCCACTGCCCGACCCTCGATATCGGATCCGGGGGGGCGACAGACCGCCCCCCAGCGCGAAGGGGGGAGGGAGGCGGAGCAGGAGGGCGCCCCTCCTCCTCCTCCTCCTCCTTCTCCTCCTCCTCCTTCCCGCCTCCTCCTCCTCGCTCCCCCCCCCCTCTCGTCCTGCCCTCTCTCCTCCCTCCCCCTGTACCTCCTCCTCCCCCCTCCCTTCCCCCTCCCCCGTCCTGCCTCCTCTTCCCCCCTCCCCCCTCCCCCTGCACCTCCTAATCCCCCCTCGTCCTGCCTCTTCTCTCTGCCTGCATCCTCCCTCGTCCCTCCCATTCGTACTGCTGCTGCTCCTCCCCTTCCTTGGCCTTCCCACTTTCTCCTCACAATTCACTGTCTCCCTCGTGCTTCATCTCCCTCCCCATCTCTCTGTCTCTTTGCCTCTCTGTGTCTCTGTGCCTCCGTCTCTCTGCGTCTGGTAATGGGGGGGTGACCTAAATGGGGGGTGGAGAAAAGGGCCCGAGACCAGAAGGGTCCCTTGAGGGCCCCTTTTGGAACCAGAAGGGGCCCCAAAGGGGCCCGCTGGGGCCCTTTTATTCCCCCCCCCCCCCTTTAAGTCACCCTCCATGACCACCCGCTCCATGTGGGCCAGGCTTGAGTCGGGAGCCGCCGTTTCCTCCGGGAGCCTAGGAACCGGGGGACACTGCAGACGGGGTCAGCCAGAGCGCCGGATCTTGCAGAATCCTGCAGAGCCAGGGGTGCACTGGCTCGGGTCAGCGCGCAGGATCCTGCAGGGTCCTTCAGGTCACCCTCCATTACAGTCAACCCGCGTATTAAGGACGCACGATGAATAAGGATAAGGATGCAAGGCTCTCAAGGTGAAGGCGATGCCGACACTTGTGCGAGCAGGGGACGGTCAGCGAAAGAGGTTAAGGATGGGCCGAAGGAGAAGGATTGGGACGCACAGAGACACTAATACTATATGTCCTCCTTGGAGGCACGCGTCCGACCCGATCATTTAGTATAGCCCCATTGTAGCGCCAGAACGCGCCCGCAACGACGCACACACTATAAGCTTGCTCGGTGCATGCCTGGCCCCTGTGGGGGGCGACGCGCACGTAGTAGTACAGCCAACCCGTATCAGAAGGATGCGCAATAAGGATGCAAGAGCCTTGGAAGGCCGGTTTGAAACTCATCGAGCGGGGCGCGGCCAACAAAAGTGGCCAAGGATGGACCGGGGAGGCAAGGATGCAAGGGACGCCCTTGGGAAACTTGCCCCTCCTTACTGTGCGGGTTGGCTGTGTAGTGTGCTGGGGTGGCGCCGAGGGATGCAAGGGCAACCTTGGAACGTTGCTAGAAGAAAGAAACACGCCGTAAACATAACAACATTAACTGTTTGGCGCTCCGCGCGGATTTCTTGGATCTGCGCTGGACCCCCCTCCATGGTGCGCGGAGCGCGCCAGGGGCGGCGCCAGAGGCGCCGCCAGGGGGGCCCAGTGCAAATCCAAGCAATCCGCGCTGGGCGCCAAAAAGTCAGCGTCTTTTCATTCGGCGTTTCGACATTGGGCGGAAGGGGGCGGGGAGGGGGGGGTCTGACTCTGGACCTCTGCTTACTGCGACTATTTGCATCAGGGCGTCCATTCTGGGGGAGGCTCCACCTGCTCGAAGCAGGCGCCCAAAACAGCCAAGACGTACTCCAAGGGGGGGGGGGCGGGGATGGGGGGGGTACGAGGGCCCGCGCCGATTGGCAAATCAACGAAGAACAAAAACGATCACAAAATGATGTGTTATGTTTATGCCGTTCTTTCTTCTTCG